CTTTTCAGCAGACAAGATCAAAGAAGACATTTCCTGTCAATGCTTGGGGAAAGTATGTTATTGCGCAATGGGGGCTACTTACGCAACATGGATTTCATGCGAGAATGGGATCTCGCCTGGACTGACAGGGAGCATCCCGCCAGGGCTTTGCAGGCGGCACGGGCCTCTGAATGTCCGCCGGCAGAGGGTTTTCTACACGATAAAGTCAGCCTGTACTACCCAGCCTGGACGTCGCACTTCTGGCCCCAACATCGAAGGCAATCAGAACGCCTCCCAGAGCTTAATACCATGGACTAAGTCGGAGGCCCTTTGCTTCCTTGAAGGTGTCTGCCTAGGCAAGAGTAGCAGATGGTGGCGTTTTCGGCGCCCAATGGCACCATGCCGCAGGCGCCGCAATAAACTCAAGCAGCCCCGCCACTATCCTCACTGCCACAGGTTTCCATGGCTTCGTGGAGTCTCTCACTGGGTTCCCTACAAGCAGTGCCCTGTGCCTGTTCTGCGTTCCTGGCTAGATAGGTGTGAAGCTCACATCGACAGACTGCATGGTGTCTGCCATGTTGCCACTCGGACATGCACGATATACATCCTGCACTCACTCTGGGCTCGCAGCGGCATCTTTTCAGCGTGGGTGCAAGAGCCACAAGGGTGGCGGACCATGGCGCCTAAGGACCGGCGAGGACCGGCAAGGACTGGCGGAGACCGGCGAGGACCGACGAGGACCGGCGAAGACCGGCGAGAGCCTGGATCGGCGGCCCCTGGTGGAGACACAGATGCGCCCGATGACATGGATGACATGACCGAGGGGCCGGCGATGGATGACCTTGACTCAGGAGATGAGCCGACGGCCGTTCCCAACCCGGGGTCGCCGCGGAGGGGACCTCCTCCTCCTCAGAATCAGCTCAGCTTGGAGGTGTCCCGCGCGGTGCAGTCCGCCCTCACGAGGCACGTCACGGTCGAAGGCCCGGTGCTGACCACCTTCCAGGGCAATATCTCCGAGCAGGGCGGGCTTCACATTGTGGTCAGGGCCATTCGGCCAAGGGAGGAGACCCATGCAGATGTGCTATGGTTTCTACCGGACCCTGACTGGTTCCCCGAAGTCCAGGCGCCGCCTGCAGCAAGTCCGGTCCGCACGCCAGTGCAGCACTACCGACAGCTTCAGCGAGAACGCGAGCGAGCGGAAAGAGCAGAGGACCGGGCCAGGTTGGCGGCGGAGGAATGGACTACGGAAAGAGCCGCGGCTGCGGCGGCGGCGGTGGCGGCCAGGAGGGCAGCGGAGCCTGCCACGACGGTCGAGACTATGGAGGCCACGGATGCCGCGGAGATTGCAACGGAGGACCTCCCGACGGATATTGGTGCAGCCTCCTCGAGCTCTACGGGGCGGCGGCACTCAGGCCAATCCGGAGCAGCGTCGGTGGCTATGGCTAAGCCGAAGGCGAGTCGCAAGCCTGGGGCCTACCCGTCGTTCGGTAAAGTTTTGGGGCCTCTTTGGAAAACTCGTGCTAGGTGCAATAGTCACCTGTACCCAGGCGAACAAGGGAAGACTGAGTGTGAGCTGCTAGGTTCTAGGTCTAGAATCGTCTTGAGCCGAGTGGGCTCTGACAGCCCGACGGGACTCCTGTCTTGCATGGCATTCCAGCTCTTACTTTGGGCTAGGGAGGCTAGCCTTGGCAACCTGCAAACTTTACAGCAACCACTGCTGCAAGACATGGGCTCTGGGCAGACCAGCCTCAGACTGTGGCAAATTCTGTGCAGCCACTCTGGCCATGACACAAGCACCGCCGACGGCTTGCACAGCTGGACAAAAAGATTTCCTGCGGTGTCCGTGCCTTCATCCTCTTACGGAAGATCTTGCTTGTGTATCTCACTCTTGAGCGCTACTACGGCCAGGTACAGTACCGGTACTTCTCGAAGAATGACGGCGGGATCCTCAAATTGCTTCGGTCGTTGTGTGGTGCAACAGATCAGTGAATACCTCATCAGCATTGTCAGATTTATCCGAAGCATCTTCGATGCCCTGCAGACGCTGCTCTGGAGGCTGCAGGTGCATCTTAAACACATGTCAGAGAGCAAACCAGATTGTACATTGAAGCGGGGCTCAACAGATGCTCATCCTGCAGGTTGGATTGGTCCCAAGTCCAGTCGTGTTCTCGGCGCCAGGCTTGGCAGCATGCTCTTTTACTACTGTTTTGGCATGCAGTTGCAGATGGCACGAGCTGGGGGCACAGATGCGAGGGTTGGTGCTTTATCCACGACGGCACCTGAAGTTGTCAGGCCTAGCCTGGCCTCAAAGCGGAGTGGAGATCGGAGGGCTATTGAGCCCAACACTCAGATAGCCTCCACTCGGATTGGCAAACGATCATATGCAAGAGCGTACGCAAGGGCCTGTCGCATGGGCGGCACCCCTTACAAAGGCCAGTGGAGGCCGCTCGCCTGGTTTTCCCCACGATACGTGGTGCCGCAACAAGTTGGATGCAGGAGAGCTCCCGGCACGACTTCGGAGGGGTGGCGAGTACTTTGCTGGAACTCCGGGGGGCTCACCAAAGAGGTGTACCAAGAATTGGAAACATACGTCAGATTGGGTATGTACCACATTGTTCTGATCCAGGAAACGAAGTGGCGACACACATCAATGTGGAGCGGGCGCGACTATGTTTGTGTGCACAGCCAAGGGCAGTCTAAAGCTGACTCGGTCTCAGGTCTGCTAACCATGGTCTCCACTTCGATAGTCACTGCCTCAGATCTCCAATATCTTGAAATACACCCCGGCCGCCTCCTTCATATCAGAATTCCCCGAGGGCAGTCTCATGTGGACATCGTGAACCTCTATCAGTATGCCGCAACAGACTCGGAGGGAGTGTACGAACGACGCATGGGACTACTAACCAAGCTTCAGAAGTGCGTCGCAGGTCTACCCAGGAGGAACTCGGTTGTACTGGGAGGCGACTTCAATTGTCCACTTGAGCCTCATCCACCGCAGTGCGGGCATTGTGTTCTCCCACATAATCCCACAAGATACAAGGACTATCGCGACCACCAGAACGTTGTTCAGACCTTGAACCTTGTTGCCCTCAATACATGGTGCAAGCCCCAACATGGACAGCTAGCCACGTTCACTTTTGGACGTCTGGCCTCGCAAATCGACTACTTGATGGTCAGGTCACGACAGGCCAGCGCTGAAGCCAGGCGAGCCCAAATCATAGACCAATTCCCTGTAGCGGCTTGGCGAGAGGGCGCAAATCATCACCCGGTAGAGGCTCGCATCCCGGTGCCAAGACTGGTGCCCACATCTCAGCCTCAACCACCATTAGTCGTTCGGTTCGATCAGGATGCTTTGCTGCATGATGTGCAACAGGTAGAAGCCACACCCTCCCTGCAAGCGATGCGCGACGAGGTGTCGCGAACCGTACAAGGAGTCGACAACGTCAATGTCGCCCTGTTGCAGGCGGCGAACAAGTACTACCCGCTCCCACCCCAACCTCAGCGACAGCCAGATCAGCCAGAGGAGCTCGCAAACTCAGCAAAGCATATGTGGGCCTTACATCGCGCAATGAAGGCGCAACAGCGGACGGCCAAGGGCATTGTGACGGCCTGGCACATGTGGGCGAGATTCCAACAGGCTCATCGGATACACAAACAACGGTCAAGGCAGCGCACCAAAGTTAAACGAGATTCTCTTCTTGAACAGGCTCAGCAGGCGGCACTCGCGGGCAACACCTTTGGACTGTGGCGGGTAGTCAGACAGCTGGCGCCCAAGATGCCGAGGAAGCGTGTGCAGTTGCACAGGGAAGGCCGCATACTTAGCACCCAGGAAGAACTGGACTGGATTCTTCAGGCCTATGGAGAACGGTACGGCGCCAATTTGGTGTCTCCGACATTCAGCTGCACAGGCGAATCCTCTCAGCAACACGTCACCATTCAGGAGGCAGACCTTGTGCATCAGTTGCAGACACTCAATCCGCGCAAGGCCGTTCCACGAGGAACTGCACCTTCTGTGCTGTGGAAAGCCTGCTGTCGACAGGTAGTGCCCTCGGTTGTGGCAGCAATTAATCGGCAGTGGCGCCGAGAGTCCCCGGAAATCCCTCAACACTGGGCCGACGCGACAGTTGCTTTGCTTCCCAAACCACATGGGCGATCTCGCTCGCCATTGGATTGGAGACCGATAGGCCTACAAGACCCGCTCGGAAAGAGCGTCATGGCTTTGGTCCTGAAACAGGCGCGGAACGAAATCATTCGACTCATCCGGCGGTTTCCTCAAACAGCTTACGTTCCGGGTCGCAGCACCACTACAGCCCTATGTCAGGTGTTCCAGCACTGCTCCGAGATCCGAGAGCTCAGTCGCGGCGAGCGACTTACGGTGCACCAAAGATATGAAGGTGAAACGCAGCAGCCGTGCTGCGGGGGCTTACAAATAAGCATGGATCTCTCCGCGGCGTTTGACTTGGCCAGGTGGGAGCACATCAAGACTGCTCTGGACCTTGCGGGAACTCCGCTTCACCTACAAGAAGTTCTACTCCGGTGGCTCACTCAGGTCAAATACATCTTTCATCATCGAGACTGTTCGGGGAAGATTCACCCCAAGTGGGGCCTCAGGCAGGGATGTACCGCTTCACCTATTCTGTGGTCAGCATTCACGGCACTTCTTTGTGTGACGTTGGAAGATAGGTTGGGTGAACATTGGACCAGACAGCATGCCACCTTGTACGCAGATGACAGTCACCTTCGGTGGAAATTCTTGTCATATCCTCAGTTCGAGCGCACCATGCAAGAAGTGAAGATAGCTTTCAGCGTCTTCAGGTCCTTCCACATGAAACTCAATGTCGAAAAGACCAAGGCCATCATCAAAGTTGTCGGTACTATGCGATCCAAAATACACAAGGAACACATCCGAAAAATTCGCAGTGCTGACAACGAGGAGGACGGGCTTGACAAACAACGGCTTCTACTATCTCCACGTGACCCGACAAACTGGTTGCCGTTGGTCACTCAGACAGAGTACCTAGGACTGGTGATCTCCTATGGGCCTTTCGAGCTACAGTCCTTACGTCACCGAGTTGCCAAGGCTAACAACAGACGTTGGGCCATGGCCTCCATCCTGCACTCCAGGAAACTCGGGGTTGCCTACAAACTTCGTTTTTGGCGCAGCTGTGTGTTAAGTATCCTCACTTACGGACTTCATTGTTGCGGCCTTACGGGGGACAACGTGCAGGAAGCCCAGCGCGCCATGATGCGACACGTCCGGGCTGTGGTCTTGAACCAGGCACATCTGACCGGAGACACTCACGAGTACATAAGGACTAAGTACGGTATCCCGTGCTTCGCAGATCTACTTCGTGGCGCTCAAGAAAGGGATCGGCAGGCCGCAGCCCAACAACATGACTGGATGTGGAGCGAAGACTGGAGCCAACACATTCGTGACAGGCTGGAGCAGGTCCTGGAGCCGACACACCCGGAGGGGGAGCAAGAAGTTTGGTCGTGCCCCAAATGTGAGGCCACTTTCGGCACGGCAGCGGCCCTGAAAACACATGCTCGTCGTACACATGACATTCATGAAGAACACCCTATTGTTTTCAACAAGGCTGAGCATGCTTTGGGGGGTCTACCTACGTGCAGCAAGTGTCACAAAAAGTTCTCCAAGTGGCAAACATTGGCGCAGCACATCAATCGCAACAGCTGCCCGAGTATGATAGTGCAGCCAAAGCCGGTGGAGGAAACTGATGCGTTCATGAACATGCCTGTGCTCCATTCCTCAGAAGACACTGCCCGGTTGATTTGCCAGCGCACGGAGGTGGTTCGAGCTTCATCCCAAGGCATCAATGCCTTCATACCTTTGTCTGACGTCAGGCCTCTCATGAAGCAAAGTTGTGTGTTATGCGGACAATGGTGCACCTCACATCGTACTGTCAAGAGACACTACCAGTACTCACATCCTGATATCCTACAAGCTTTCGGGAACAAACTCAAGACATTAGTGCAGCGCACTGCCACCGCCAGCCCTACTTGTCATTACTGTGGCGCCAACTGCAAGGACTGGAAGGAGCACTTGCTTAAGTGCACTGTGGCATGGCAATGCTCTGTGCTCGTCAACATACGCCTCATGCAGGATGCTTGCGGATCCGGACCTCAACGAGTTCTTCGGCGAAGTCTCTCAGGAGCAGTCGCTGAAGCGCCGCAGGCCGACGGAGGACAACAAGGGCCAGGGCAAGGGCCAGGCCACGAAATACAAGGCGGGCAAAAACGACGAATTGGTGACTACTTTGGCCAGATTGGCGCTTCGACAGGAGGAGGAACTACAGGTTCTCAAACAGGACCACTCGTTCATGATGTTCATGAAACCAGGCAGGGACTCCATCCTCCACTACTTGTACCAGACGGCCACCCTCTTCAAGAAGAAGCAGGCGGAGTCACCAACTTGGGGGGTGGGGTTTCAGCCGGCGCGCCAAGTGCTGGCCCTTGCTCTCTTTCGGGAGCTTGCAAGCCGTCTCGAGACAATGGAGAAGGACCAGGCCAGGATCAAGGAGGTCGTAGACATGGGTTGGGCGACATCCGAACTAACATGGAAATTCCAGGCATGGAACCCTCAGCTCAGAATCCTTCAAGAGGACAAGGATCGCAAGCCGCTCACAACAGTAGAAGTGAAGCACTCCCTCGAAAGGTTGTACGCGGCGGTCAAAACCGGCGTAGTGACGCGATTCAGTTGCACGCGAAAGCTCACGGAGACCATGGAGAATCAGGCCAGCTTCTACTTCGATCTTTCTTCCAGGGGGGCGGGAATCGAGGCATGGGAACACATGGAGAAGCTAGAGGGCTGCTGCGTTCTACAATTGGTGGGGCTAGCGTACAAGCGCGCGGGACTACGACGGGGTCCCCTGGCTCAGAAGCTGAGGGAGCTCCTAGGCCAGCGCTGAGGCTCGTTCTGGGCAACAGAGGCAATTCATGCTACATGAACAGCTATGTGCAGGCACTGGCTTGGGCCATTGATGATGGTCGGGCGCTGCACTTTGACCTACTGGGGCGCGGGGCTCACTTCTTTCGTACACTTCTAGTACAAACTCGATCGGAGCCCGTCCTGCTGGTCCAGGATCTCATGTGGAACACGATCATTACTGGGTGGCAGGACAGACACCGACAACATGACGTGGTGGAGTTCGCATCTTTCATCAATGACAAACATAAGCTACCACTTGTGGAAGGTACATGGGAGGCTCGAACTTTTCTCCATGGGGAGGGGCTCATCAAGGACACGGGGCACAGTGCTCAGCCATTGCTGTTACATATGATCAGCGCGCCGCCGGGGCTCGCGCCTATCTGCCAGGTACAGTCTTTGGTGGATTCATGGCATGCACAAGAAGATGTACATGCGTTCACGGTGCTACCCCCAGTGCTGATGCTACAGCTTGGTCGTTTTCACAATGCGGATGGACGTATCAACAAGCTGCACACACATGTGGAAGTGGATGAGGAACTCTGGATTCCACTTTTCAATGGTGCGGGCATACAGGCGCGCCCATGTAAATTCCGCAACATAGCAGTTATCTGCCATCATGGGGCACATCCACGATCAGGACACTACCAAGTGCTACTACGCTCTGAGTGGGGATTCTGGAGCTGCGACGACAATAGACCGGCGTTTTCGTGCAGTGAAACACCGGACATGATGAAGGCAACAAGCTACCTCCTGCTTTACCAACGCATAACTTGATCGTGCCATCTCAGTGCGACATGCTTTAGGTCTCAAGGGACGGTGTCGCACTTGTGGAGACTCTTGAGACAACCACAAGAGTTGTGTAGCCGAGCTACCGGGCATCGCCCGCTCGCACTAGTTCCGACGCTTGGTGGACTCATTCC